CAATCATGATCATAAAGAGAAAAATATGATACACAATATTGATTTTGGATTTAATTGTATCAATCAGTACGGTATCATAAGACATGACAATAGGATACACCTTTATACTCATATTTGATGTCCAGTAGTTGTCCTGATCGTATAGCGTGAATGAGAACAATCCGAAAAACGCCATGTCATCAAACGATTCACTGATCACAATATTGGATCCAGCCATATCAACGATGTATGAGATAATGATCCAATAAAACTGATGGCAAATTTTTAGGACACATTATTGAGACACCGAGCTCAAATATTGATGTTATCAGCTATCTTGCTTTCACTTTCCAATATATAATCGATAACGACTGAATCAAATATCAAAATCATAGTGGCCTTATCATTTACACCACATTATAAATGCAACTGGATCACAGATAGAAGTCACGGTATGTCTTTTTCAGCACTTCACAATGCATTGATGAAAAAAATGGATGAAATATTAGTTTCAAAGAGTATCGTGAGACACATATGAACACATTATTCATATAAGTGGGTTCCACTATGTTTCTTATCACTGTAAATGACCTGAGCAATACGTCTAATTCACATATCGAAATTGAGCATAGGGATAATGAATACCCTACACGTAGTGTGGGAAAAGCCGGCTTTGTGGACCCAAAATTGGACTTTAGTTCCTGACAAGGTAATCTTTAAAACTCAAACTGTACCGTCGGCATCCTGAACAGACCCGCTGAGTCCCTCCATAATGCTCATCGCATTCATTCCCTCCCCCACTGCCAGCTGAGTCCCGCCACGGACGACGCTCTACACGAGCAAGACACGAGTGCATTTGATCACAGGAGATGCCGACGAGGTGCTCAGCGCTACAACACATTTGAGTTATTTCCAGGAGCACTCGCTTGTTATGTGTCAGCTTGGGACGGAAGCGTGTACAACAAAAGCAGGCTGGCAGGGAAAAAGAAGGAGCACTTGTTTTTAGCTCCCTCGCTGATCCGCGCAATGTCAGTCAAGCCTGAACATACTCTAAGTTCCGTGACTGGTTTTTAAAAGTATCGTTCTTCGCGTCGACTCTTCAAAGTCTTGGTCTTTGTCTTGAGTCCTCAAAAACGTCAATTTTTCTTGACTCTTAAAGTCTTGCTCTAAACTTTGTCTCGGCACCTCAAAGTCTTGGTCTGGCCTTGGTCTAGACCAGGGGTAAGCAACTCCTGCTAGGTTGGTCCCTTTTCTAACACACCTGATTGAAATGATCAGGATCAATGTCAGACTTTTATGAGAGCTTGCAAGCTGGACTCTTTAGGACCGGAGTTACTTACCCCCGGTCTAGTCTCTGAAAAGTCTTTGTCTTGACTAGGTCTCAAAGCATATCGTCATCAATGACCAGGACTCCGAGGGGTGCACACCAGAGCAAGACTTTGAAGAGCTGAGACCAAGACTTGGGAGAGGCAAGACCAAGACTTTCTGGAGGAAAGACCAAATTAAGACCAAGTCTTGGATACGTGGAGAGCAAGTCTTTGTGGAGTTGAGACGAAGTCAAGACCAAGACTTTGAGGAGTCCCAACAAAGTCAGCATTAAGACTTCGAGGAACTGAAAGGGTTTTCGTCAGGGGGGATGCTCCTTCTTACTGATAACAGACCTAAAAAAGAGTGATAATGAATTAGTCACCCTCTTTTTACTTTAATAACTTTGCCGTACTTCACAAAGCAGAGTAGCACTTTGATCAAAGGAAGTGCTAAGTGCAAAACAGGCTTGAAACCACCCATCCGGCCATTAATGAGAGTTAATAAAATAAGTGGATGAAGAAAGGAGCATCATGGGCCGTTGGACTACAATCAAAAGCATTTTGGAGCTTTTTAGCCTTAAAGAGATCAAAGCCCCACCGCAGTCCACTCAAGAGGCCGCCCAGATGGACAAAATGACATGGTATTATAGTTATTTGTCCCATTTATTTCACGCAAAGATGGCGTGATATCCACACAGTCACCTATCACCGAAAGTAGTCACAGTTCATCAGAAAATGTGTTAAATTGTATTTAGAAATGTGCACACATCTCAATATAACATCCCAGAGTCAGAACACAAACCAAGCTTCAAGTCAACAAATGTTTTATTATATTTGCAAGCATCGCCAAAATTGTATTTCATGTTTTTAGTATGTGAGGTCGTGCATAGAAATGTGAGGGGGGGGGGGGATTTCATAACATTTTGGAATACAGTAATCCTACTCCTTCATTGGGTGACATTCCAGACCACCTCCTCAATAAGTGAATTTCTGCGATATAGAAACACCCTATAAATACACCCCAGGCATGTTTTTATAGCACTTAAAAGTGCTTTACGGTCTTTAAACACGTTTAAAACAATGCAAACACATTTATTGAGCAAGAGCAATGGATAAACAAAGAAAATGTTGAAACAGTATTAAAAAAAAAGTAACAACTCAAATTAATGTTGAAAAAAATACATATCAAAAAAAATCTGCGGTACAGCGTAACTGCATAAAACTGTACCATGATAGGGTGGGAATTTACTTTATGGCTGCAACAAGAAATGTGGAAAAAGTGAAGTGCTTTCTGTATTCTCTGCACATTTATTTGTACTGTGCCTTCATTTGAGTTGCAAATGTGGTGTCTTTTATGGTGTGTATTTGTCATCCAAATAAAAACAAAATTGGTTACTGAGGCCAAACAGCCATCGGCAATAAACGACAGAATAGTGCAATTACAAAATGCCGAGAAAGTGCACCAGCAAGAAGATTGCACCACAGGTAAAGGAAAGGAAAGGAAAAGATGAGTCACATTCAACAGGGTGTTGTACATTCAGTGATGTCATATGCAGTTGTTTGCCAAGGTACGAGGTAGATGCGTGGGATTGAGTATGAAATGCTTTGGATGCTCCGTAGTCATTATGCAAGTCGCCCTCTTCTTGCATTTAGAAGCGCTGATGCCAATTGTGAAAGGAGCAAGCTGCGTATTCACAACATGGCAGTTGAGGCTTTGGGTTGAGCCATCATAAGTCAGCATCATGAAGGGAAGGGTGCTCAGCACAGAGCCCTGAGGAGAGCCATCGCTGAGGATGATGGTATATATTAGAAGGACAGTCGGTCCTAACAGTCTCTGGCCGGTTGATTAGGAATCCCTGCACCCAGCTGCAAAGGGAGGGGTCAGTCCTAGTGTGTGTTGTTAGTTACCTCCGCCTGGGTGCGTGAGAGCTTAGACTTTAGCTGTGTGAGCGAGGTGTATGTATTGAGGGTCTACGCTGATGTCGGTGTCTTTGATTAGTTCATGACAATCTCCTTGAATCACTTTGTGACTATTGGTATGAGCGCCGCAATATGATTGTCTTTCAGGCTCTTCTCTGTGGACCCTTTGTGTACCGGAATGATGGTGGAGGTCTCAATGCATGTCGGGATGGCCGCATCAGAGAGGGACGTGTTGATTATGCCTGAGGAGCCTGGCCTGAAATGTTGTTGGGGCCAGCAGCATTCCGGGCTAATCTTGTTCAGGGACCACTTTGCCATTCGCCTGAAGTAATTCTGGGGGGCATCTTGACTGGTGGAGCAGTGATTCTGGCGCTGTTAGAGGTGTTGTTCATGTCAAAACAAGCGGTGACGGTTGTCAGTTCATCATCTTGTCTTGTAGCAGCCTTTGTGACTATGTGCATGTAAAGCACTTCTGCGGCATGGGGATTGACAGGGTAAAACAGTGACGGTCCTCTGCTTTGGTCTGCTTTTGCTATGTGGGCAACAGGATACCGGAATACACTTGATAGATGTGTAATTTGGGAAAGTGATGTGTGGGCAGGGTGGGTGGTTCTATCCACTTGGGCCAAAATATTCACACCCCGTGTTGGTATATTGACATGATGGCTAAGACGGGACAAACCATCTGTCAGCTTTATGTGATCAAAGTCACCTGAAGTCCCATAAATACCATCTGTGTGGTTCTTTTAGCGCAAGATGATGTTGCCATGGAGTTCCTGTTACGCATTATTAGTATTAGCATTCAGCGCAATGTAAACAGCTGGGATGAACACAAATGCAAATGGTGAGGGAAAAAAAAAAGATATGGCTTGCACAGAGTATTAATTAGCAGTTCATTTGCCTCGGAGCGGCGAGTGTTTACCGGCTTGCCGTTTGTGTGCCACCCTTTGTTTCAATGTGCCTTTTTTATTTTCATTCACAGCTTTTCCAATCTTAGGTCACGATATTTTTAAAAGACATAATCTGCCCAGTTTTGTGTTTTGCTGCAGTCAGGAAATTATCATCACACAAGGTTTTATTTCCAAGAGTTTGGCTGAGCTTTAACATATTTTCAGCGTCTTTAAAGGGGTCGTCAACTCGAAATTGTTCTTCACAATAATCTGTTCTGTGTGCCTCCATGAGTCACAGGACATTCTGATTAATATTGTGTTTGTGGAATAAGAGTTAAGCAGCAAAATCCCGGCATTTTTCCCCCACAAATTATTGACTAGTTAAATCATAATTTCCCCACCCACCTGGAATCGGTGTTGGAACAGTCCATGTTATTCTTTAACGAGTAAAGTCCAATGGGTCCATCCATCGCGATCCAGAAGCCCGTTTTTGAGCAGGAGTGTCTTTTTCAGACCTTATTAATCTAATGCGGAGCTTCATTTAGCTTGACTGCGGCGCGCCAATCAAAGCGACCTCGACACAGGACCTCATTAGCATGCTAATAAAGTCACCTCGCCTCTAATGACTGATTAGCAATTCAGCTGATTTTTGTGGCACATGCACACAATACACACACACACACACACACACACACACACACACAACAGGCATATTCAGAATGTAATGTAATTACCATTTATGCTGTAACTAACTTCTCTTCATTTGTGCTTGTCACTTTCCCTGTTTGTGTTCGTCACATCCTTCACACCCACACATGTGATTGTATACCGTTACATACTTGATGGAGACTATGTTCCTTTAAATTGGATTTGACTGTATTCGTGTACTGTTTGTCCTCTGCAGTGCTCAGTGGCCTCTGCTCCAATGACTGTCCTGGAAACGTTAAGGTAAGCAGCATGATTACTGGGACATCCCTGTCTGGCCACAACAGGAATTGTACTGTTAGCATGTGAAATTTGGTGAATGAAGAACATATTGCATCACACATGCAACACATTGGTTGAGCTCATTAAGTTTTTGGTCAGTATTTGTTGTTACCATTTATACAGTGGATATAAAAAAAAATGGATGAACCCCAAATAATATTCTGATGTTCTAGCTGAGTGTTTTTGTTAATGTTTGGGATAAGGTTCAATGTTGGAGAGACATTATGAACAGGGCTGTGCACATGACAGTTTTGGTCAGGTTCTCCAAGGACATAGGTGTCAAACGCCAGTCATCGAGGGCCGTTTAGCATCTCGCCCTTTTGCAACACACCTGACTCAAATGATCAGCTCATCAGCAAGCTCTGCAGAAGCCTGATATTGATCCTGTTCATTTGGATGTGTTGCAACAGGGAGAGATGGAAAACATGCGGGACGGAGGCTCTCGAGGACCGGAGTTTAACACCTGTGTCCTAGGAGGACCAGAGGTTGTTGCTTGGTGCGCTTTTTTTTTCCTGACCCACTAACCACCCTGGTAGTGGCGATTCTAGGATTTTTTACGACTACTGTGATCAGTTTAAGAGTAGAGAAACCTTTTTCACTCGAGGCATCACTAAATGGAGTAAGAAATGCAATTTTGTTAGGCTTAAATAGTACGTGAAAACTCCACCGTAGCAGGTTTTCATGTCACATGAAGATTAATTAAAGGAAGCCCTTCACGGTTTACAGCCATTAGCTGCGCTGCCCAATAAGTGTTGTAACGTCAACTTTTTGTTGACGAATGGCGCTAGCCCACCTCGGAGAAATAGAATGTCTTGTATTGGGTAATTGTTCTCCCTCACAGGAGCGCTTGCCATGTACTATGGCGCAGATCATGATGGTGGGTTGACGGGGAAAACGTTTTGTGCTTGTGTGCGGCACACAAGCGGCTGTACTGAAAACAAGTGACGGGCTCGAATCTGAGACGCTATTTAATGTCTGCTGCGCGCAAGAGCACCTCTGCGCTGCTTGTACGCACCCCTGATTATAAAGCTATCACTCTATTTTAATAACATATATTTATTTTATATTTAAATCTTATATTTTTAATCCATTTATTGTTGTAATTTCATTTTTAATACAGTTCAGTAGTTAAAGTTACATGTATTTGAAGTTAAAATGTATGTAAGTTATGAGATATTTGTTGGTGTAGTGTGTGCTTGGTAAGCGTATTTATACTGCAATTGAATATTTAGGTCACAATTTGATCATACTAATATAATTACATTCCGGTGTCTTTTTGCAAAAGAAGCATTTCTGTGTGTGTGGCCTCAGGTGTTTATGCCATACACATGCATTTTATTATCCTCCAGAGAAAGACACACACACACACACACACACACACACACACACACACCACACACACACACACACACACACACACACACGCATAGAAATAGCGACAAGTATCCTCATTGTGTCCAAGCTTTCAAATGAATGCTTTTGTATTTTAAGACTGCTTATTTCATCTTACTGTAAGTTTACTGACCTTGTTCTAGCTGACTTTTCAACATGCGTCTAAGTACATGGGTACCTTGACTTACAAAATACATTCAGTCCTGTAATAAAAGAGAATCTGAAGAATTGAATGAAATAGAATTACGGTACATACACGTAGTGTATATACTATTTGTGTGTTGTAGTTGTGCCTGTACGGAACATGGCCAAGAAAGTGAAGTAAAGAGCGACACTACATTGTGACAACAATCGCCTAGCCTCTACCTAGCCCTCATCTTGATGCTGCCTGGTTAAGGAATAACAAATAATTTCAAATATAATCACAGCTATCTTCAAGTTTCTTCGGACAGTTTTGATGTTTGTATTTCGTAACAGCAAAAAAAAAAAAAAAGAAAAGAAATTCATCACTTCTCCTGTTCATACTGGTGTGCCAATTTTCTCTCATGTCAGATGCATTGTGATGTCTGCTTGCTCGGCACCATTTTAGGTTTCCCCACCCTTTTTTTCAGAAAACCATAAATAGACTGTATTATAAACAGTGAACATTTGAATATCATTTTTGACTCATCGTTCATAACCTTTAAAATAAATAGCGTACAGATTTTTTTTTTCTTTTTAACAGCCCTTTTTTTTTTTTAAACAGCAAAAACATACACGTGACAAAGACTGGCTCATAACTTTTTCCGCTAACAACTGAAGCTAAATTTAGCCCGACGAAATATCTTACAGTAGTCGAGATACATAACTTGCACATACTTAGTTGACACTACTTAATACTTTTCTATAAGCCAGGGCATCATCTTGTGTCCTTATAGAATGTTACTGACCCTTGAGAAACAAACGCTTGATAGTCATGAATAGGTGAAATCTTCAGCGAGTATCTAAATAGAGAAACACACCAAAAAGTGAATTCGTAAATAGTGAATGGTGAATTGGCATGGGTTTACAGTATATTGCTACACTGTGATATCCTGGCTTGTCACACTAGCCACCAGCCAACAGTCAATTGTAATGACAAATAATTTTTTTCTTTCTCTCCTGAAACAATTTATTAGCTTTTCACTCTAGCTGCCAGCTAGCCTTCTTGTACTTGCCGAGCATGCCGGCGCTTCTTGTCCTTGTCAGTTGAATCGTCAATGTGGCAGGCGGGTACGCCGCCATCCATCACCTCCTCCTCATTTTCTTCTTGTTTGTGGCATTTTGACAACATTTTGCTGAGTCATCATGTCGTAAAAACCTTTTTCTGGTGGTTTGTCATGTTTCTTTGCTTGCAGCCATTCGGCGTTAACCAGCCGGGCCCGTACGTCATGTATACCACTGTGGACTCCAACGGCTACCTGAAGAATGCCTCAGGTCAGTAGTTTACATCCCTTTATTTGTTTTCCTACTGTGAGGAGAGTATATAGTGACTCAAACAATTCAGTTGGTCCAGTTTACTGACTCAAGTTAGTGGATTCAGTGTAAATGTTGCCGACTGGCTCGAGTTAGTACATCATCTGAAACGTATCAGAAGCCGATGCATCGTTTTGTTCTGTCCACAAACTCCAGTTAGCAGACGAACAAGAAACAACACCGACCGATTGGGCAAAAAAAAAAAAAAAGAAAAGAAATTCATCACTTCTCCTGTTCATACTGGTGTGCCAATTTTCTCTCATGTCAGATGCATTGTGATGTCTGCTTGCTCGGCACCATTTTAGGTTTCCCCACCCTTTTTTTCAGAAAACCATAAATAGACTGTATTATAAACAGTGAACATTTGAAGATCATTTTTGACTCATCGTTCATAACCTTTAAAATAAATGGCGTACAGATTTTTTTTTTCTTTTTAACAGCCCTTTTTTTTTTTTTTAAACAGCAAAAACATACACGTGACAAAGACTGGCTCATAACTTTTTCCGCTAACAACTGAAGCTAAATTTAGCCCGACGAAATATCTTACAGTAGTCGAGATACATAACTTGCACATACTTAGTTGACACTACTTAATACTTTTCTATAAGCCAGGGCATCATCTTGTGTCCTTATAGAATGTTACTGACCCTTGAGAAACAAACGCTTGATAGTCATGAATAGGTGAAATCTTCAGCGAGTATCTAAATAGAGAAACACACCAAAAAGTGAATTCGTAAATAGTGAATGGTGAATTGGCATGGGTTTACAGTATATTGCTACACTGTGATATCCTGGCTTGTCACACTAGCCACCAGCCAACAGTCAATTGTAATGACAAATAATTTTTTTCTTTCTCTCCTGAAACAATTTATTAGCTTTTCACTCTAGCTGCCAGCTAGCCTTCTTGTACTTGCCGAGCATGCCGGCGCTTCTTGTCCTTGTCAGTTGAATCGTCAATGTGGCAGGCGGGTACGCCGCCATCCATCACCTCCTCCTCATTTTCTTCTTGTTTGTGGCATTTTGACAACATTTTGCTGAGTCATCATGTCGTAAAAACCTTTTTCTGGTGGTTTGTCATGTTTCTTTGCTTGCAGCCATTCGGCGTTAACCAGCCGGGCCCGTACGTCATGTATACCACTGTGGACTCCAACGGCTACCTGAAGAATGCCTCAGGTCAGTAGTTTACATCCCTTTATTTGTTTTCCTACTGTGAGGAGAGTATATAGTGACTCAAACAATTCAGTTGGTCCAGTTTACTGACTCAAGTTAGTGGATTCAGTGTAAATGTTGCCGACTGGCTCGAGTTAGTACATCATCTGAAACGTATCAGAAGCCGATGCATCGTTTTGTTCTGTCCACAAACTCCAGTTAGCAGACGAACAAGAAACAACACCGACCGATTGGTATCACCTACTCAAGTGTGCATACTGTACTTACCATAAACACTTTGGATTCAGATGATTCAGTTTTATCCATTCACTGACTCAAGTATGAGGACTCACCACAGAATCAAGTGGAACAGCTGTACCGGTTAATTAACTAACTGGAATTAATGTACTAACTGGAAACACTTGAATCATGTGGTTTGGTTGTGATCGGTTCACTGACTTTAGTTTAGCATTGCAGCATTGCAGACTCAGACGTTTTGAATGTGTCTACGAATCGACTTCATTTTGCAAATTCAGTGAAAGCACTGCAGACTCTGATGATTCTGTTCATTAAGTCAATTGTGCACTCACTGGAAATAGTAGACAATCCAGTAGTATAAGATCACTGGCTGGAGTTACCGTACCTGGAACCACAACAGATTGAGATGATACTTTTTTTTTTTTACGCTGAAGGCTCACTGATTTGAGTTACAAGATTCACTGGAACGACCGTGGGCTCGGATTGTAGAGCGTATCGCTTCTCAAATCAAGTCAACTCACCTTGGACAAGGGTGAATTGGTTGTATCGGATGAGTGACTTAAGTTAGCAGACTCACTGGAAACGCCAAACCCTTTTCTTGGCTCACAGACTAGAGTTAAACTCACTGAACCCATCCTTTTCCATTGTGTTTGTAAGTGCCTTGAGAGGACGGCTTCCGCTTACAAGGAGGATTTTTTTTTTCCAGTTATGTTCTCCATTGCTGTTTATTTGATGCTCTAATTAGGCAAAGGAAAATAGCCGTTTCTTGTCCTCAGTGGGCTTTACTTCGATCGGTCACATAAGGTTCCTGCCGGAAGCTCCAGTGTGATAAAATGCTTTTTTACTCCCCACTAGGCTATGTTGGAAACATTGTGTCGATCCTCCTCTGAAGTCTCAAAAGCTTTTTTTTTAATTGTTTTTTTTCCCCGGCCTCGTTCCTCAAAGTCGTCCTCTTTCAAGACAACACCTGCACATTGCATCAGGAGGGAGACCGCGGCCGGGAGAACAGTCAATTTCTCTGTCTCGTTGTGATCATTTTCCTTTAGGTTCTCACCGACGCCTACTTCCACGAGCAATGTAGGCCACCATCTTTTAAACTCTGATGTAACCTGTGCAGTGACCCGTTGTCATAACGCCACGTTTAAAAAAGCCCAAGACATAATGACAGGTCGTACGTATCATGAGATGGGACGTTAGCGTTAGCTGCAGTAAACTGATGTTGCACTACACTGGCAAGCCAGTGAGATCAGGGATAAATATAGCCTGCGTTGTGTCCATGTTGCTGTATCGCTCCTGTTGTTGTGTTGACGCTTTTGACGATGTTTTTTTTTTCCTTCTAAAATAGAGTCACTGCAAATGTGTGCTTTTAAAGCTGCTGCCAATGATACCATTACATGGATCATCATCATTATAAGCGGAAATATTTGTTCTGGAACATTAACAGTAGAGTGAACCAAGACCTGCTATGAATAGGAAAAAAAAATAGTCAGCACCATTCCCCCAAAAATGTATCTATGGTTGTAGTTTTAAACTCTAAATGCAGCCCAAACTTTGATCCCAAAACAGTTACCTGTAAAATGACATCATCCATTTGTTTCGAAATAGATTGTATTTGTGTGTTTGAAGCTAATTGCTGAAAGTGTGCCAAGAATGAGATCTGCCAAATACTAAATTGTGGAAATGTAGATGATGATGTTAATTGTTATACCTTGGCCATAAGTGGAAACTCTCGACTAGCCCGCTAGCTCTTGTCTGCCTCCAAGCTAATGGCTCAGATGGACAACTCTCGACCATGCTATCGGTATCCTACTCCACCTTCGACTATTTCTCATCTGCCATCCGGTGCTCTAGTTTCACCCGTTCGTCTTTCATATCCAGCGTCCACTTCCACTGTTGGCTCCGTTCCGGGCACTGGCTTCCATTGTGACGTTGCCCTGTTCATTCGTGCAGATCCTCGGGCTGGACCGAGACAGACGCGTTCGCCTATAGACATTTTTTGCATGGAGGACTACAGCCTTCGCCATCCCCACTACGTACACAGATGCCCCAGCCGGGAACTTCCTTTCAATTCTGCCGCGTCGTGTTTCTTCGTTGTGACCATGGCGTGGTTATCCTTGATCCATGATCCATATGGATTACTTTCCATGTGCGGTTCAGCACACACGCTTTTCACTGATTGGTTGATGAAAAGAAAAAAGATTGAACTAACTTGAGCGAATGTGCTGGCCTGCCCTCGCATCGCCTCATACGCATCCATCATGCTGCCCGGCATGACTTCACACGCATCTACACAAACTGCATTGACTTTATCTATCATCACGTCGTGAGAATAGCTCACATTGCCTTCGGTCTGATTGCAGCATCAGTGCGCTTGCTTGCTTGCTTGCTTGTTTGTTGAGCTGCTAAGATAGGATATAGTAGCAGCGTATGCTACTGCTGAACTTTAGCAGTAGCATATGCTGCTATGGTTGTGTTTAGTCCAGAAATTTATTCCATTGCGATATAGACTGAAGACAGATTCTCTTTTGTATGATACAACTATAAACACAAGCATCTTATCGCTCTCTGTCGCATCTCAAGCAGAACGCCAAACTATTTCGCATCAAAATATTCCGGATGATTGCTGTCTGGCTCCTTGTAATTCAGATGCCTCTATTTTTTTCAAGTGTGTTTCCACTGGAGTGCACATGGCGAAGGAGACGCTGACTAGCCCAAGGCATCGCCAGCGCTATTCCCCCGACTCTTCATTTAACAGCAGCAAAATGCTGCCAGGGAACTGCTACTTCTGTATGTGTGTGTGCGCGTTTGGGTTTGTGCGCGCGCTGCGGCTTGTGCGTGGCCATCTCAAGTGTGTTTATTTTGTAGTTTGTCGCTCTGGGGACTGTAAGGGATGAGCCCTCGCTGCATGAGGCCATGCTGTGAACTTCATTCGCTTTCGTCCCCATGATAGAGAGCAAAGTGCAAAGCAGTTGATCACCTGAAGTAGCTAGTTGTGTGGCGATTGTGTGTGTTTGTTCACTTATGGCTGAGCATCTGCGTGCTAACATACTAAGCAGGTAGGATGGATGAGCGTGGCAAGCAGCACACTCATCTTAGACTTACCGCTGAGATTGTGGGGCTCGCCGTGTTGGAACGCCTCCATGCACACCCAGATGCAACTTCTTTTTTTCTGCAAGTTGGCGTCTCACGTTAAAGATGAGCCATCGGTTTTTGTTTGTGTGAGGTTGGTTCAGTTGCTTGGTTGGTCGGTAGTCTGGTTGATGGGTTGAAAGGGTGGTTGGTTAAGTAGTTTGTCGTTTGTTGCTTTTTTGGCTGGTTATTTTGTTAGTTTGTTTGATTCTTAGTGGGTTTGTTGGTGGGTTTGTGATGCGGCTGTTTTTGTCAAATGTTTGTTGCTGGGTTAGGTGTTTGTCTGTTTTGGTTGGCTTTATTTTAGGTGAGTTGACTGGCTGGTCTGTCTTTCATTTGGTTGCCTTTTGTCAAGTGGTTGGTTTGTTTGTGAGTTCTTTGTCGGATTTGGTTGGTTGCTTGGTTGTCCAGCTGGGTAGTTTGTT